ATTGTATTTGCGAAGGTTTATATGTATTCCTATACAATAGTAGTTTTAACAGCATATCTGGAAAAATGCACACTAAATATGCAAACCAACTCCTGTTCTGAATATAAGGTTTCAACTTACTACAAGATTCCCGTACGTAGAACGGGCAAACAGCTAGTATGGAGTTAAAATTAATAGGTATTGTTTTTCAAAGTGCGTGCAATTCAATAGTGCGGTCACAACACTTTTTGACAAGTAAAAAAAAACCGAAATGATGACATTTTACATATCCAATAATCTTCAATTATTATTCAATCTGTTTTAATCTTCCAACCAACACTACATTTATCACATAAGCCTAAACCACCGCGATTGGCCTAAACCTAAACCAGGCGATTTGATATGGATGCTGCACAATTCAAGGAATTCTCACAAGTTTTTCAAAAAGTTTTAACAATTATTCTCACACTAGCAGAGTACCCGTCCTTCGTACGGGGTTGGCATTTAAGTATAAAATGTGTATTGCAGTTATACTCGATCTTTGCGTTTGCAATGTGAGAAGACACGGTTTGAGAAAATTAGCTTCCTAAAATTTACGGTATGCTATAGAATTACAAAAGTATTACACATCTACCATAGCCATTATGTTCTACCACTTCACCTACACAATAGAGAAAGATAGATTATTAAAAATTCGCAAAATATCACAAATTATTCATGAAACAAAAAAAGAACTGTAAAAAACTGTAAACAATCCTACTTTGACAGTTCTCATTGCGTATCACAGTTTTTTGTTGCTGCTTAGTTCAAATTAGCTATGTTTATAAATAATGGAAAAAAAATAATAGTGCTGCACCCTGTTGGTAAATCTTATAACTTTTTAATGCTTTTGCATATCATAGAACTAACTCTTAGTTGAATCAGCTGGCTAAGTTTCTTTAATTTCCTTTAAATATGAATAAGGTTCATAAGGTTAACATGGGAAACTGCAGAGCCACTGGGGCGGAGCCCGAAAGGATATTTGAAATAAGAATATGCCTATATGTTAATCGGGAATGTGAGCTATCATCATGCCAAATTTCAGTCCAATCCGAACAGTATTTTTCGCGTTTACTTGTCACAAACATACATACATCCAAACTTTCTCATTTATAATATTAGTAGGATTTCACAAAGCAAGAGAAGTCGGAGGTGTTAGTAAATCTTACAGATATTGCTCCATTTGAAAATTTTGAACGTAGATAAAAAAGTTGTCTAATTAAATAGAACACTTTGAAAATTACTATACTGTACTATGAAATTTGCTCAACTTTATGTGTACCTATTGGGTGAGTAGGCTACATTACAATTCCCTATCAGCTTTTCTAGGCCCAGAGAAAACAATAAAAGATTTTCCTTACGATGACCTTATCAAAGTCCTATTTTCGAAGCAACGATTTGATTCAAAATATTTTCGATTTGAATCGATGCAACTCGATTCAAAGCAATATGGAGTTTTTTTTTCATAAATGGAGTGAAATAACAATAGGCTAATTAAAACTTACCACATTTGTGTAATGCAAGTTTTTGTTGATATGGTATTAGGCCTATTCATACATATGACATGATATGAATTTTAGGTGAAAAAATATTTATTTTCAATCATATAAGAAGAACCTGTATTCCTGAAAATGTCAGTGAGCTGCTTTACTTGCCTATTTCATATTTTTTACTTACAGAATCATATTGTTAAGCATGTTACATATTTTATAATATTGATTTTACAAATATAAATATGTTTTGGTGTAAACAAATAAAAAAAATTTGCAAGATTTATACTGAAACTTTAAATAATTGGTTTGGATTGATAAAATTAGAGGATAGAATCAGACCTACAAACTACAAGGTAAGGTACATAGCAGACCAACAAAAATGCCAAATTTATCAGTCTAAAACATCAATCTTACTAGTTAAGTATCAAGTACAAATTTTTCAGACTTGTGTTATTTTTAGAATGATTTTGGAGTGACTTGTTTGGCTATGTTTACAGTAGTAAAACATGTCTCACACTGCTTACACTTAACAAAACTTCTCATCATATGCAATATATATACAAAAAATATATAAAACAATTTAAGGAATATTTACAAGCAAAGAATTAATTAAATAAGAACGCCTTTGCAAAGGAAACGCAACAACGCACTCCTGTATTGCAGAGTATTGCATTCACTTTCTGCAGGCGTTTTTGGTATATGGATACTGATTCCTTCATGAATCGAATCGCAATTCGATGCATGAAATCGAATCGAATCGGAATTTCGATTTCGGGATTTTGCACACCCAAGTCCTAATTCAAATGCTTGTTCCTGAGAAAAATGTAGTCGTTTCCCAACATTACTTTTTAAACATTTATCAAAGGAATGGTCAGTCAATATCAGAGTTTGTAGCCTCACTTCATCGAGACTTAGTTGTGAGTTTACACAATAAGACCCTCTAGTAGTTTTTTGGTGGTGATTTTGATTGATTGGTTAAATGTGAATGTGAATAACTGAAGAGAGGTTAATTTACATAAACCAATTAATAAAATAAACCACAACAATGAATCTTAGCCGATACGTAGCGTAGCCGAACACGGGGGGTAGATTTCTGGGGTTAGAATTACGGGGTCGGATATTTCTGATTTGGCTACTGGACTGGGGGCAGATTTCCAGGTGTAAAATTCCTTTATATGTCTATGGCAATTCACTTAATAAGCAAACAATTAAATGTTGATTATTTAATAATATATTTAGGGTAAATTTAAATTTCCAGTCGCAGGCTGGTACTCGATTGTGTATGAAAGCCCCTCGTAACGTTAAAATGACGTAGGCGTTTTTTCATGGGGGTAAATTTCTAAGGGTAGAATTCCACTACCCCAGACATAAGACTAGACCATTAGACATAGAGTTTAGAGTTGTTGTATTCACACGTTGCGTTGTCGTTTCAAAATCAAGCTCTGATGGACTAGCCCGAATCCTGGTCCTGGGCTGGACGGCCTGGAGGAAATGGCGTTCGTAGCCGATCGTCTTTTTAATGCGCTGATTTTCCTTTTCACACTAATTAATGTTATTGGTTGAGGAAGTGTCAATTTTACACGTGTTCCGTTTAACTCTCAAATAAATGTTTTTTTTTTTTTTTATACATATCCCAGAAGAATTTTTGCACATTACTAGCATAATTACAGAATTTTTGTATAATTCCCACATAGTTCCCGGTGTCATAATATTCCTGTATAGTTCCCGGTTATTACGGTTTTCCCGGTCGCCGCACACCCTGGTCAGGGTCTATACCTTAAAATATAAAATAATTTATTAAATGTCACACATATTTGTAAGTCAAGATTAGTGATGTGGGCCGGGAATATTCCCAGTGGGAGGGAACTTATAAAATGGGAATATTGCCGGGAATATTTCTTTGGCCCAAAACTGGGAATATTCCCAAAAATTGGGAATTTATGAAAATTTTAAAATTCTGAACGTTTTAACTCATATTGACGGATAAATAACCTTAAAACTACGTTACCTATAGTAAATTCTTACATTTAAATCTAAGAGTTTTCATTCCATGTACATTTCTTTAAAAAAAATTTGAAATTTATGAAACTGAATGGATTTTAATTATTGCAATCTAAGAAAAGAAACAGACTTTTATCTGAGTGAGCAGCAAAACTGACAGTTCTTTCTTACAACTGGAAACTCATGAATGCTCAACCTCTAAGAGAGAGTAAACAAGCAGAAGGCAACCCAGAGGAAACAGGACAGGAAGAAAATGAAGACATCCTGTCCCTTCTCACAATCGAAGAAGGGGATGAGGATGAGATTGACTTGACAAGTAACAATGAAGACGATTTTTGTGGATTTGGAGATGTAGATGACGAGAAGGACGAAGGAAATATAATTGACATAGAAAGTGACAGTGACTAGGAAAATCGAAGAAAAATTACTCAAGTTATCATGTTCACTGACATATATAGGCTACATATGTCCGTGTATATATATGTCCGCCATATATACATGCCATTTACGGACATAAAAATTTGAACAAACAAGTGTTTTTGGCCTCTAAGGACATCAAAACGAAAAAGTATATCGGTCCCGGCTTCAGGTCTTATCATATTATGTGCTCGTTGGTCTTACCTTGACAACTACGGTAAAAGCTACTTCCCTATAGGGAAATTCGCTAAAAGAAAACTGAATTAACACTGTGCTGCATTTCTTTGTAATAATTGAAAGAGCCGATTTGCAAACTATGGAAACGTAGGAAAGTCATAGAACACCACCAAGGAGAAGAATAGAAATAATGTTTTTTAAGAATTTATAATCATTATTATGGACAACCTAATGTGGCTATGTGTAAGGCTATTTGTAGAAAACACTAAAAAACAAGATCAGCTTTTGAAAAATGATAAGATATTTACAAGAAATGTTGATTATATCGATCTGTTATATAGATCTTGAGTATTTCCATAATTCTTGAGGCGAATCTTTTAAAGTCATCAGAAATTATGACTTTTATTCGTTTTAAAATAGCACCTGTAATACTTAGCAATAGCTTGAATTCGAGCAACAGGTACCGGTACTCTAGTTGTATTAAATCAACATTTTTTGAAAATAGATTGTTTGTGTTTTATTTAAAACAAACTACCACGGTGACCGATTTGAGCAATTTAGCTTATAAAATTATAAATTCCCAGTTATTTATTTCAATTAAAACTTTGTATTATAATATATTTCAGTTTTTGTGGTTGATTTAACCTCATAATTATGGCTTTTAACTATTAAGTTACAGTTTTTAAACCTACCTTGCTAATTAAAAATAAATTCCCGGGAATTTATGAATTTTGGGAATATTGCCGGCAATATTCCCTGGGAATATTTCCTCGATATTAAATTCCCGGGAATTTTACATCACTAGTCAAGATTGTTAAAAATATATTAACTAAATGTTTCCATTTAATATTTTTTAAACACAAAAACTAAAAATAAACTATGAAAGTTACGTACCATGAATGGTGAGCTCAGAATCTTTGTTGACTTCATAGAGGCGAATAGCTTCATCCAGTTCCATCTGTGTAGAGATGGTGCAGGGGTCACCTGAAAATATATTTTGGGTTACAATCGGATCAAAATCGGTCTTTACCTGACGTTTTGGCAAAGATGGGTACCTACCAGTAAAGTACACACTCCTCTTAATTCTCCAGTCGACAGGAACCTAGTCTTTTTGACCAATTAACATTATTGTGGCATGTGAAAGTGCCAGTGTTATGGAATGTTCAAAATAAACCAACACAAACACAACTGATGATTGCACAATAAACTGTTAATTAAGAACTGTAAAATGGGTTTCATAATTGTTGACTTCATAATTAAATTAACTCTAAATGCGATTAAGCTTGCTATAACTTATTCGAAACTATTAACTATGATGCGATACGTGGAGGGGTCTGACTCTCAAGTCCTACATCGATGCTATGGGAACGATACTGTTCGCATTGAACTTTTGAACGATTGAACTTTCTGATCACTTACGATTGAACTTTCTGATTACCTACTAGATGATCACTTACGATTGAACTTTTTGATTATTACCAGGTTATCAATTACAATTGAACTTTCTGATTATTACTAGGTGATCACTTATAATTGAAATTTCTGATTATTATTAGGCGATTACTTATAATTGAACTTTCTGATTATTACTAAGTGATCACTTACGTTTGAACCTTGATTATTACTACGTGATCACTTAAGATTGAACTTTCTGATTATTACTAGGTAATATCATTTACGATTGAACTTTCTGATTTTCTAGGTGATCACTTACAATGAACCGTGATTATTACTACAATATCAATTAAGATTGAACTTTCTGATTATTACTAGGTGATCTCTTACAATTGAACTTACTTATTATTACTAGGTGATCACTTACGATTGAACTGTTTGATTATTACCAGGTGATCACTTACGATTGAACTTTCTGATTATTACTACTATTACTGGGTGATCACTTATGATTGAACTTTCTGATTATTACTAGGTGATCACTTACAATTATTGAACCTTGATTATTACCAGGTGATCGCTTACGATTGAACTTTCTGATTATTACTACTATTACTGGCTGATTACTTATGATTGAACTTTCTGATTATTCCTAGGTGATCAATTACAATTATTGAACCTTGATTATTACTAGGCGATCACTCTAACCAATCAGCCACACAACTATATCAACAAGCTTACCTTCTTCATCCACCCATTTCATGGTGAACACTTGGTCCGTGCCGAACCTACAAATGTCCCTCATCTCTTGACAAAGCTGATCAAGCGATGTGTGGGGATCTATGTAAGTGATCATCACCTCCCTAGAAATTGACAAATTGATCAATGAAACTGTCTAGATTATTTTTTCTAAATGTATTGTATTCTAAATGTATGTACCTATATACGTTTTTTCCGGATAACAGGCATTTAAATGAAATGAAATGAAAACGTTTATTTATCCCAAGAATTATAAACTAAAACAGAGAGTAGCTATACAACTTAACAGTACAATATTTCTAAAATAAAATAAAATTTGCCTTACTTATGGAATAGGCCTACATGGGCAGGTGCCTGTGCGTAGGCCTGGCTGTTATCAGTCTAAGCAAATTGAGGGCACACACTAAAATTGGGAAGATTTTTAAGCCTTGTTAATTTAACTTGATCGTTTACCGGATAAGAGAATGTCGGCGACGACAACCAAAGCCAGTGCAATCTAAGACAGGAGACATTGTGAGGGCAAGGGGGTCGAAGGGTCAAGGATTGTTTCGTCAGGGTCAAGTAAGGTTAAGCCTAACAAGTCCCACTTCCAACACATAATGCAAAGTTTGTAGGACTATGCTGTATTGAGTTACTGTAAAGGTTTATTCATAGACCAACAATAGTGGTTTTCACCACTAGAAGTGAAAGTGGCTCATTTTGGTACGCAATCGTGTTTTACAAACGCGCAGCCGAGTTTGGAAATACGATTTAGTACAAAAAGACACTTTGCTCCGTGTGATGAACAACTATTTTCATCGTACTGTGGAAATAAGCTTCTAATTGTTACAAAAAGATACCTCATAATTTGATGTTATACAAAGTCGTCATCATTGTTTACATTTCTGTTGTTTACAAAAATAACTTTGAAAATCGTGTGATTAGTAGCGTTTTCATAATGCGCTGACATAATTTTTAGGTTAGCGTACCGAAAAGTTTACCATATGTTTTTTCTGTTCCCTTTTGGAAGTTACCCAGAAACGATGATTTTGCTGACGATTTAGAGAACTAAAAACGACTGCTTTCCGGACAATATGCTCAAAAATAGCTTATCGCATTTCTGTTCCTAAAGTGTCTGTTACTTTAGAAAATGATTTAACCCTCTTCTTATTAGTAAGTAACCACTTATAATTTCCAAAACAAACTAAGTTACATTATACTTCTGTGTGGATTAACCATGCTACAGATTAACCAATATCACTAAAAATTTTAAATAACAAAGAATATATTATCCAATTTAAATGTACATTATACAATAACAAGAAGGTCCATCATCTCGCAGGCAGACTATAGAGTTGTTTGTTTTTTACTTCACCAACCACTGTTGAGTCACTGATTAGGCTACAACCAATATTGATAAATTTTTTTTTCTTTGAGTTTTAATGTTTTGATATTACTAGTAGGCCGGAAATTTACTAGTAGTATTACTAGTAGTTACTAGTAGGCCTATACATAGGTTCTCCAATGTTATTTGTTTTGTTTTGTAAATATAAGTGTATGATAACAAGTTAAAGGTATCTCCATTGAATTAATTATGTTTCATTATTAGCTCAACCTGTCATACAAGTTTAACCATACATTCAAAGACAATGTTAATGTTATAGTCCAGTAAATACAACAAAAAAATAGGGGGTTGCTGTGCAAAAGGTCGGGTAGTTCTGATTTTTGGATATGTTGTTAGTGTTGGGCCCATAACATAAAATCCAAGTTATCCACCTCGAGATACCACCGCGCGCCGCAGGGCGCGCCACTTGTAACGAAGTAGCAAAAATCTGACCATTCCTGTGGGTTTTCACTCTATTTCGCGAACAGTTGATTTTACTGAAAGTATTACTTTATATAATTAATCGAGGATAAATTTGTGACAGTTTAAGCCCAACAGCAAGTATGTAGCGTAAATAACGGTCAAAATACAGACCTTCAAAATAAATAAATTTTCCAAAGATTTATAAAAATGAGTTTTTTTCAATGTTTCCACAATATAGTTGTTTGCAGCAAACACCGTATTGATTTAGGGAGTATGCCAGTTTATTTGCTATTAATAGTAAATAAATCAAAGTATGAATAAAAATACCCCCACCTCAGCAAACCTGCAGACTAAGCGAATTTCCATTTGCTTGATTTGATTTTCACAAACCTATTTAAATAACATTAGGTTTAACTGGTACCTAGCTTTGCTGCTACAGGGAGGGTAATATAGTATATCTTTTAATAAAATAATAATAGTATGATAAGAAACAAATAAATTTACCAAATTTCATAAAAATGTAGGTATCTATAAATTAGGAAAAACAATAATTAAAAATCTTTGCTATTAGAATAACATGTCGATTTTTTATTTGCATTTTTTTTAATTTTCTCCGTAACCAATAACTGTAAAAATCATTTTTATGTACTAAATTAATTTGTTTTTAAACTCTACAACATGTTTTACAGATACATTGTAACATTGTAACAGATACATACAACAAAATCTTAACACGTTCGCTACCGCTATAGTACAAAATTGTTCATTCATATGGACCAGTGACACACACATGCAATGGCTGGTTTCTACCCATAGACTGCCGTCGCATGCGCCGGCTAGTCACATGAAAATAGACTGACATCGCATATTTGCATAAGTGTTCCAATGTTATCAAAACGTGTATATCTTTGTCGTAGGGGTCTATTTTGAAGGCACTGAATTTTCTGCAGTGGTCTACCTGGAGATGTTGCACAACTGTGTCGCTTGGTGAGTGGATATGATGATTGATGACGTCATATGATAGTTGGAAAAACTGTTCTTTACTTTCCTGCATCACTGTATGTAGGCCTATGTATGCTGTATGTGTATGCTGAATTACCCCATATAGCTTTTATATTTGTTAAATTATAAACGGTTCTTGAAAAATCTTTTTTTTAACTTAGTTTCACCCAAAAACATAAACAAAAATGAACTGTCGCATTTATGTAGTGTTTGGGCTATTTTAAGAGAAATAGATTTCACTATTGTCTTCACTATAAACCAGGTGTCGTAAATATGTGACATTACAAAAGGATATCAAACATATAAAAAAAACAAGAATAAATTATTTACAAACAATATTGCAGAGTATTACAAAGTTGATCACTATTTAACAGGTTTTCGCCCGTAGTCAGCGTGTACTGTTAACCAAGTGACAGCCAGTCTATGTGTAAGATTAAATTGTATACCTTAGTCTGTGGTAATGATCACAGCCTCGCATATATGCGACGCTCGGTAGCGAATGCGTTAAAATGCAAAAAATAAATTGAACTTAAAATGTCAATAAAATCTGAGGTACTTAGGCCTAACAAAAAAAAGACTCTAATTCTTACCCATTGTAAGCGGTCTTCACTCGGATTTCTGGTATGTCAGAGTTTGCAAGCTGAGTAGGCATTTTGTTCAAGCTTCGAAAAAATTGTCTGCTTTTTCTAAGTCTGCGGCGATAAAACCTAATTACTACAACATATACTTCCCACAAGCAATCCAATTTGGCAAAGGACTGTAATCTGTAGAGTCAAGAATAGGTTTATATCCTGAAACAAACGTGGAATCATTAATTTTAAAATAATAAACAAATTGTGTTAATGGTGTGTTAAAATATTTGAATGACTCTACATTGTGATGTTTATTAAAATTTGAGTCTCTTAAGAAATAAAAAAAAAAAATATTTTTACAAACTTACTTAAAGGCCTAACTTAACTTACTTAACTTATTTTGCCCATATTGAAAACTTTTTCCTTTGACACTTTTGAAGGAAACGCCTAGGTAGACTCTATTGGGAGTTATTTAAACAGAAAAGGATAAGTTACCAATAATAAATAATAACCAATCAGGGACAAATAAAAAAACTAGGGTGGTCTGCCATTACACTTTAGACGCATAAATGAGCGAAGCATTATTTAAAGATTGTCAATGGCTAAAGCAGCTAACACCCTACAATATGTTCCCTTTCAACAGATTCACCGTTTGTTTGCCCGATATTATTTAAGTTCTAAAGAATGACAAATTTATCTGATAGTCCATACTGTACCTTTGTGTACTCGTGCAATCAACATTTGTTCTACAATCGTCAGGTCAGTTAATTCGTTCGGGACACTTGACACATCCATATTTATTAACGCCATGAATTTAGTTGCATTTGAACGACAACGCGAACAAATCGGTGATTGGTTTGAAGCTGTTAGTTGTTGGCGATGACAGTTAGTGTAAAGTGTAAAATTTTAGTGCATCTAATTCATGTTGGAATTGATTAGCTAACTGCATATCATTATCAGCTTCTTCCGCAACTGCTTCATCTGGTTCTTCTTGTTCACGACGCCACTCTCTTACAATATATGCATTATTAGTGCGTCAACCAATATTACGACGTGGCCTTTAAAGCATGCTCAAAACAAAAATAGCAAAACTGTTACTTCCATTGATAAACTGTTAGATTCCAAATTTAAGCTAGGATGAAAGTAAACATTGAAATGTAAACAAAACAGTTACAAACAATTAACATATGTTTATCTTATTTAAATGAAACGAGATAAACCCATATATCATAAATCCAATATAATTTTCTTTCAACTTACATTAAAATAACAAGCGAAATTGCGTGACCCTTAAATAAAATCAAGAAGGAAATTTGCAAATATTTTTTACCAAAACATTGTGCTCAGTATTCTTTAGCTGTTGGTCAAATTTCATATCAATTGGTCAAGCCATTACATTCTGATGCTCTTACAAAGAAGTTACAAAGTGAGGGAAAGTGAGCTTCGCTCAATAAAGTAGGAGCCAACACCTAACTTAGTAGGGCTAATTTACCTGTACAACTTCAAGCAGTGTTACCACACACAGTGGCGGACTTACCTATGGCACCGACCCTAGGCCCGTTCGGCCAGCCCCCCTTTGTATTTTGCGAAAAAGGAAAGGTTTCAACGTAAAAGAGATATTAAATTTCCCGTTGTTGGCATGCTTAATAATGCATTTTTCCAAGAAATACATAGGTGCAATATGAGTAGGGACCATACATTATATTTAAGTTGTATTTATAGGTATTAAGAAAACATGAATATGAATACGAATAGCCTACGAGTTTTTGCCTCGATAGCAGAAGACAACAATGATGTCTACATGACCAAGGGAGATGTTCATGATTTTGCCGCGAACGCGCAAGGCGACTATGACGTTTATTCCGTGGCCGCGGCAGTAGATTATGATGTCCAAACGGCCGTGGGAGATGTACATGATTTTGCCGCGATTGCGGACCAGTCAAAAGATACCGTATTACCTCTGGAGTGCCAGAGTGGTGCAGTGCTGGAATAGAGAGGGTATAATATATAATGTACACTATCCACAAAATAACTTAGGCCTGAAACATTTTAAATTTTACATTCACACCAGCTAATAATAGTTTTACTCATAATATAACTGTATATTGTCACATCTTTAAATGAGTTGTGTATACAATGTAACAGGAATAAAGAGGTCCTTTACTTTATTTTTAGAACCGTACTCAAAACAGGATTTTACTTGATTATATTCCACAATTCTATGCAGTTATTTGTTATACTGTTATACTTTATGCATTTTATTAATAAGTACAAGTAAAAACATGGTTTTTGCGGATATTATAATGACTGACATTTATAATAATTACTAGCCTATAATAATCTTCACCGCTACGGTAACCACCGCACGCCCATCGCCCGCTTACGCACCGTCCACCCCCTGTCATGGCCAGGCGCCCCTCATCGGCGGGCGCCCCCAGGCCCGTGCCTTATGGTAAGTCCGCCACTGGCCACACAGCTCCGGTAGGAATCCCTCCTCACAAGCATAAGAATCCCGCTTTTCCCTCACTAATCCACGCACAATCCATGCACTCTGTAAATTAACCTGAGTCTAATAGTATAGGCACCGGTAGTGCTATAAAACAAGTTTTCCATATATATTTGTTACCTAACGAAATGTAAGTTAACAGTCAAAATTATATTTTAAAGTGTAAACATCCTGTAACATATCAAGTGTTACACAGGGTTGGTACTGATTATAGAAAATGAAATTCCTGACTTTTCCAGGTTTTCCAGACTGATATTATACTTTTTCCAGGTATACCGTAAGACGATATCGAATAGTCAGAGTCAAGAATTATTAGAAAAAATGTTGGCCTAAATAGTTTACTCATAAAACCAATAAGAAAAGAATTAAACATCTGGAATCTGAAAAAGTAAGAGTACCAACTAACTTAACCTCACACTTTATGTTCTACTTGGCCTTGACTTGACACTGGCAGATAGACGATACAGTGCTTCTGATACTGATATATATCGATATTTTGCTTGCGATATCATCGGTTTATATCGGAAGAAACATGTGATATTGGAAAAATAACTACCATGCTTGTACCGGAGACAAAAAGTAGTACAAAACTAAACTAGGCCTATTAAATGTTTCAACTAGGCTAACAGGATAAGTTAGCCTAAATATTTTTTTTATAAAATCCTACAAGTTGCAGTTTTTTTAGTTTATAAAAGGTTGAATCGGTATTGGTATGAATTCAATGAGGAATTGTATTCAGTATCGTATTGAAATTGAAACGATGAATGTAGGCCTATCCTTCCGCACATCACGGTACTAACTAGCTCGGTGCGTTCAATTAAAGCCAGTAATCAGAGGGTGATGATAGAATGTCTGCGATGTTCGATGTTTTTTATATCGATGGTAGGTTCACGATGTTTTCGTCTAACTTGTAGGTTTTTGACCAAGTATTGAGACATGGATGCAAAATGCAGCATATCTGTAAAAAATGTAGTCTTTCAAGAGAAATTCCAGATTTTTTCCAAAATTCCCTGACTTTTCCAGGTTTTCCCTGACCGTACCAACCCTGTTACAGGATGTTTACACTTGATGTGTGCTTCACACAGTATTATTAGCATAGGTAGGGCCTAATTGAAAAGATAGCCTACAAAAAAATATTCAGTGAAAAAATATAGGTAGCCTAATGCTTTTAATACTTAATTTTAAAAATTACATAGGGAAACTAACTTATTGTCCTGAACACAAGTTTATTACAAGAAACCTGGAAGGTACCTACTGTACTTGTTCTGAGTCCTGACTGACTTGTCGTTGTCGTAGGCCCTAAGTTAAGTGTAACTAATATTTGTATAGACCCTACACAGTAATTAATTTCAGTAGACAAACATAAACTCAACAGCTTTGCTAAGTTATTTGAGGGTTATGAGGTTTAAGATAAATTTATCTTAAACATCATTATGTCAAACGTTATGTTGGTTATTTTGTTTTGTTTATGTTTGGTTAGGTTAGCAATGTTGCCACCAACTAACGTCTGAATGAAAATCACTAGAACAGGTACCATCCCTAGAAAACAATTCAATCTCTTGAAGTGACAAACTGTAGGCGTAGAAGTAAAGGGAGTGAAAAGAACAATAACTTAAACTTAAACCGGAAAAATATCATCGATCATTCATGAATGCACTATATTATGATCATTAACTCCTACTCATATTGAGTCACAAAGTACAAAGTGTCCCGATTTACCGTTGAAATTCCAAAATGTTTTTAAAAACTTTAAGTTACAATTGGGTGAAATCCGTGAAAAACCCGCTCACAGCCCTGATCCGGGCAAGCCCCCAAAATCCGCGCAAAAAGCGGAACTACGCGCAAAACGGCAACACTGACTTCAAGCCTATGACAGGCACTAGCTAAGTTAGGCCTAGCCTTATATAACTTACAATCTTCTCTAGGCCTACCTACTTTAGATTTAAAGATGAATATTAATCAAATAATAGGATGAACTTCATAGATTATATACTAAGCTAAAAAAACATTCAAACCAAACCACTTGAAATTGTATTAGACCTAAGTTACTCCTATGACAGCCTAGGCCTAGGCCTGTCCAATAATAAGTAATTGGCTAAATAAGTTAAGTTAATAAAAACTATCATACTTATCTGTAAACTTAATCACAGGCTAGTTAAATTTAAGGAAAATATAAAGTATCTTACCTAAATCCAATGTTAAATTACATTCAAAATACTGATGACCTAGCCAACTACTGCGAAAATAAGACACTCATTTATTGTCATAGTACATAGATGTAAATACTATTTGATGTTCACTCTTTTTTCAACTTAAGCTGGATATTGAATAAGAACACTGGCGAGGAGAATTAATAGGTCTCTATGTGTTTTAACAACTAATTGGTAAATAAATAACCAACAAATATCTATCAACATCAACGAAAAAACCACAACCAAACCAAACGACACATTTCCCAAATTCCTTAGAAAGAAAATAAAAATCATATGACTCATATGAAAAAAAACACATTGTTGCAAGCCTTACACACAGGACAGAAGCAAGACTTATTTTATTCATAGGAATTTCAATATTATTATACAGGCAGTTATATCAATTTTTTAAGATGGGGACGCCAATAATAGGTGCGTATTTTTTATTTTAACCCAAATATTAGTGAAGGATGAGTGTATATACTATATATATTTATATATATAAATTAAAATTAAAAAGCTAAAAAATAACATTAAAAATTAGTTTAAATTTTAAAAAAATTAACATGGGCCTTATAAGTTGCCATGCTGGTGACTAAATAACAACGAAATAATATTAACAGAAAATGAAAACAAATGGAAAAATTCTAATCACATGTTTTATCTACAGCTTGAGGTAAAAATAAAGAAGTCTTAACATTACATATTTTTGGCAGTTTTTGACGGGAAACGGACAGAGGAGCGCAAGTCGTAAAACTGTCAACCCCTTGGCCGGAGAATTCGTCGGGGGTAGGACCAAGGAGCGCAGAGGTGCTTGCGCTCTTTGGTCCGACCCGGGCAAGAAACTAATCCCCTACTTACGAGGGTTGAACAAGACAATGCTTGCGAGTAAATCCCATTTATTAGTCGCGCCTCACTGACTACACCATTGATTCAGGCATATTTTTCTAGTGCAACTTATTTATTACCAATTAAACTACTAATATTGTATCAACAAATTAACAAGCCGTACACTTTCACATTCGAATTCAAATTGCAATGTAAAAGCTGATCCTTCAGTTGAATGTTGAACCACATTTAGATTTTGTTTATAAAACAGTTAATAAAAATGTATGATAAATAGGCTACTTTTTGATAGTTGCGACTTGGATAAGGTAGGTGACTTTAGTCTTCATGGCGTGGATCTAAAATAAATTAATTGAATTTATTGTAAATTAGTAAGTTTATTCACTTTTAATAGCTGCTTTTAACAGAGATTATCTTTGAAAAGAGAGGGGTATTGAATAGTTAGTTTTACCTTCGAAAATGTGGTTAACCCTATTAAAATGTGCAAATTTGCAATGGGTCCCCTCGTTATTAAATATACGATTTTTTATGCAGGAATGGTTTGTAAAATCCTCAGTTAATATAAATCCATTAATACAAGTAATTGCTTTCAACATGTACACACCATTAATAGAAAACAAACCTGAATTTTACATCTTAGTTTTATGGGTAATTTCTTTATGATATATAGAACGCTTCCTGGAAAGTCTACTAGATTAGGTGTAAAGTTGAAGTAGACAGGAAAGTCACAGGAAAGACTTATAAGAAAACTTGTCCAATATCATACCAAAACGTGCAAAGGTAGAAAACGTGTGGAAAAAATCTAAACGAACTAGCTCTTTTCAATTGTACCAGAAGTTATGCATTTTACTCGTCCAACATATTTTTATTTGTAAGGTTATGAGATAGCTCTTTATCAATAGAAGAATTAGAATTAGTTTCAAGAATGGTATGCGTTGTTCCTAAATAGTACGAACCGGTAGTATTGAGCCATTGAATATCATAACACCTGATAGAAAATGTCAGGTGTTTCCGCAGGACGTAGGGTGAATCACGGGTAGAGAGAGGATAAGGACAAATTAAGAAGAATCATGCACGTTATAAGCAATAGTCGTCATGCCTTCAAAGCTATTTTAAAATTATACAAACTATACCTGCAAAACAAAATACTCTAAGCCTACATTATTTGATAATTCTCATAGAGAAAGTTTAACTGCCTCACATAATCTAATATGATTTTAATCATAATAAAATAATGCAAATTTAGTTACATAATATTTAGTGATAAATATTCTTTAATTTGTATTAAACTGCACTAAAAATATGCGGTTTTCTGTATGTTAATGGGCTTATTAACGTCGTACAAAACAAATTGTTTTTAAGATAACTACTTCGAATACAGTTTTTTGAATTGTCTCGTTAAAATATTTATAGTTTCAAAATTACTCCTTATATTTTTATTTTTAAGTGGTGTATTCGTGAGGCGCGACTTATGGGATTTACTCGCAGGGTCGACCCAGACATTGTCTCTTTTAATCCGTATAAGTAGGGGATTAGTTCCTTGCACGGGTCGGACCAAGGAGCGCAAGGTACCTCTGCGCTCCTCGGTCCTACCCCTACGGTTTTTATTTATGACCTCCCATTAGAGGAGGTATTGTGCGCTCCTCGGTCCGCGAATCGTTTTTGACCACACAACACTACTTGCGACGTTGCCACTTCAAATGCCGCGGCTGGAGTTAAATGTGGCCGTGTATAAATTTCCACGCTGGCTCACAGTCGTCTTGAAGAAACTTTTTATCCAAAAATAAGATACTACATAAGAAATAAGGAGACACTTAGTAAGTTAGTATTCAGGAGTATTATACAAGTTCGACCACATCCTTAGACTTTGTGAATTTCGGGCTAAACCGAACAAATTGATTTTGGCTTTCACCTTTACCTCCAACACCACGGCCATTTTTAACTCCACGCTTCTGTGGAAGATGGTCTCTCCAGCCCGCAGTTTGGATGAGCCCAAAAGCAATGGCTGCCTGACCTGCTTCCGTGTTGACATTTTGCAGACCTGATTTGGCTGATGGTCACTTCCATAAGATTTTTAAGGTCTCCTGAAATGGGTGTCTGGTGTTTGCCCTGATGTTTTTAAAGAATTGCTATATTTTGCCAACAATTTACAGATCTATAATGCTACACGCAGTAATATAATTGTAAAAAGCAATGAATAAAATTAAATCTGGACCTATTCTTGTACTAAAAGACTTATTTTTTTTATTTAAAACACGTTCAAGAATTACATAGGTCTACACTAATTAACTAAAAATTGACATTAGCTACAGCAAGTCTAGGATGATGGTGTATTTGTAAGAGTTTTTGTTTAATCATGTATTGTTTTTTTTTTTTTTTTGCTGATAAAAGACTTCGGTAAATATAGAAGTCAATTATAAAATCAATTCTTCATAACTATTTCATCCTTAAGAGACCAAAAGACAATTCATTTAATTGCTTTATCGTATTTAGTCAGCAACACAGGCTTTTATGGGATACGCAGCTGAATATGAATGCAAAGGTCACAGTTTTAATAATGATGATAAAATTCAGGTATACCAATCCAAATTATGAACAAAGAGTTGAACTAGCTGAAATGCTTCTTTAACAGTGGCGGATCCAGAGGGGGCGAAGGGGGCGACCGCCCCCCCCCCTGCTCGGGCATACGCAAAAATATATTCTTTTACTGCATACAGTAGAGCATAATTTCGTGAAATAATTTGTTTCACTAACTTTGGACAAAGAAATTGTATAAAACTGTCATTTTGGAGACTTAGTTTACACAAATTTTTCGGGGGGGGGGGGGGGTACCCCCGAACGCCCTTCAGACCTACTGGTTCGCCCCTCCCCTTGTGACTGATCTAGATCTGCCACTGTTCCTTTAATCTAAAAATAAGTTATCAAGTTATGTTAAAATAATTATAATGGGGCCAGGGTCCATTTTTGCCTTTGACTTCTGTGTTCTGTACCTATGACCATGAAGGTGTCATGCAAGTAAGCTGTGTATCGCAGTATCTTCAGTGAAAGCATAAAATATACTATCAAATTGGTGGAAAAGAAGAAGATTGAGGTGTTTGATGCAGCTCTTGCTCTATAAACATTCTTTTGCTCACTCACTTTTGAACCCACCAACACACATTCCTTCTTGAAGAGTGTGGTCATAAGTTTTTCCTTACTATCCGGTGGTTTCATTCGTTGAGGGAAGTCATTTAATCTATCATGCCCGCTATCTGGAACCTCAATATTACATAATATGATATATCCTAAAGGGAAGTCTGATGGAAGGTTTGACCAGACGACATTGTGTGGATTTTCTTCCCACTTGTATGAGGAAACTGGTAGGTACCTACTGGGATAAAGCCCATACAAATTATTTGCATCATAATAAAAGTAACCATGATTTCATTTTGTCTGGATCGTAGTCATCAGGATGTTCTCCAACAGCTCGTCGTTTGCCTGTGCCCAACGTCTGTAACTTTGCACGAGTCCTCATCTCCAATTGACATGCCTCTACGCCTCTACTAACAGTACCATGTCGTAGTCGCACATTAACTCCAAGACAATACCAGTGTGTTTGATCATAGCCATAGATAAAACGGTCTATGGCATAGCTTGCCATGTTAACGATCGAGCGGTCCAGAAATGTGCCACATCCAAGCCATAATGTCTGTAGCATATAGATCTAAAAGAATTCATGACATCAGTGAGGAGACAAATATCAAGTTTAAATAGAAATCATGGTAGCAACCAAAGTTTGTGAATTTTAATTTCGTCCAAACCTCTTGGGCATATAGTCTTTGTCACTCACTTCAGAATCATTTAGTTTGTTTGCAAAAGCCTCTCTGAGAGGTAGACTGGTTTCTTCAAACCTGGATTCCGAGTTAACATATAGTTGTATGGATAACCTTAATGCACAAGAGTTTGTATGCTCTTCAAGTAAAAGCCTAGCACTTTGAATAAATTTATTTTTAACTAGTTCATCAAGGCTGGCTGACATCATGCGGAAACTGTTGAGAAATCGTAGCCACATATCTTCCGATTTTCACCGATATAGCTATCAATTTTACGAACTTCACAGCCCTTCGGTTCGGTACATACTCATTGCTAATTATGAACACTTGATTTGGTCGTAGTTGGAGGTTATGAATCCAAATAATTGGAATGAAATTGGGGATTCTACTATTCTACAACTCAAGTTACATTTGTTACACAGTGAGTGTCTAAACTTTGAGTTAGGCAAGTGATCGTGATCGGCACATTTTACTGTGCGTCAGGCAATGCATCGTCAAACATCGACAACAAAGATCACATTCTGTAGCCTCTTCCATGTTTTTTACGCTCTTTCGTCAGTCATTATATATAACGTTTGGCAATTGATTTAGGCAAAGGCAC